CATCCCCCGAGGGGTCCTGGATTGGAGAGGGTGCAGGCTGGGCTGAGGGGAGCCCCGCACCGCCACCCCACCCCCCGTGCCTGAATTTTGTGCACCGGGCCTCTAGTATTCTAATAAAAATGCATGGTAACAGATTGGTACTAGATTTATTGGGATGATCACTTAGTAAGTTATGTAATGTCTAATCACTGAGGTGTATACCTGAAACTAATATAACAATGTATGTCAACTGTAATTGAAAAATAAAAATTATCAAAAAATGAAAAAGACAAGAAAGTAATAAAAGGAATTGCATATTATGTGATTGTCTACATGGAAAAATCTCAAGGAATCAAAAAAAAAAAAAAAAACCCTCCTAGAACTAGTAAGTGATTTCAGTAGGGTCACAGGATACATGACCAAAACAAAATCAATGGCATTATTATATAAAAACATTGACCATGTTGAAGCCAAAATTAAAAATATTACCATTTATAATTGCTCCAATGAAAATGAAATGCTTTCACATATACTTAACAAAACATGTAGAGGATATTTATACTGAAAATTACAAAAAGTTGAAAGAAATCACAGAAGACCTATATAGAAAGACATACTTTGTTCGCTGACTGGAAAAATCACCATAGTAAAGATATCTATCTTCTTCAAAGTAATATATAAGTTTAATGTGATTTCTAGCAAAATCTCAACATAGTTTCTTATAGACATAGAGGCTCAGTGCACAAAATTCATGCATTGGTAGGGTCCCCAGGCCTGGCCGGAGCCTTCCTTCCTAGGTTGCCAGCTGCCTGCTGAAGCCTTCCTTCATTCTGTGCCGCCCCCCCCCCCCCCCCCGTAGTTAGGGCACATCATAGCAAGTGATCGAACTCCCAAGGGGACCAATTGCATATTAGCCCTTTACATATATATATATATATATATATATATATATATATATATATATATATAGAAAAGCCTACTCTAAAATTTATGTGGAAGGCACAGGGCCTAGAATATCTAAAATAAAATTTTATCTCTGACAAAAAGGATAAAGTGGGAAGAACACTTATACTTGAGAGATAATTAAGGGCTTATATATTATATTAGCTCTTAGAAGGGTCGCTGCCTGAGAATTTCTCTAGCTTCAATGGGACAAGAACAGATGCCAAAAAAATATGCCCAATTGATTCTTTTGCCAAAAGACAAAATCAATTCAATGAGAAAGGAAAGCCTTTTCCACAAAAGGGGGCGTGCCTCCATTAAACCACCATAGGGAAAAAAATGAGCCTTGGACCCTAAAGCT